TTATCATGCTGGTGATTTGATTTGATGACTTGACCTAGTGATTTGAGGCTTGTGACTTGAACTAGGGGCTTGTGAGCACGAGCGGGTTTGCTACCGGGGTACAGTCCTAGTATATATATTATGTTGGAAGGAAGGAGCAAACCTCAACAGATCATCCATTCACAACTAGCAAATTGACTTAGTATGTTAATGTAACTCTCATCTCGTCTCATCTTATTCCAGCTCTTACCACCCCATCCTCCTCCCCACCCAATCCCATCCCATCCCATCCCATCCCATCCCGTCCCATCCCATTCCATCCCATCCCATCCCATCCCATCCCATCCCATCCCATTCCATCCCATCCCATCCCATCCCATCTCATTCCACCCCAGCTCACCCCAACTCATCCTATCCAATTCCATCCATCCCATCCAATCCCATCCCATTCCACCCCATCCCATCCTATCAAATTTAATCTCATTCCACTCCATCCCATCCCACTCCACCCCATACCAACTCATCTCATCTCATCTTACTTTGAAGGCCATGCTGTAACTCTCGATGGCTTCCACCAGCGTCTTGGCGTCCACCAGCCCTTTCCCGCCCAGCCCTGGTCCGGCCCCTGCGCTGTTGCAGCAGTGGTGATGGTAGCAGCAGGAGGAGTCTCCGCCAGTGTGCAGCCAGGGGTTACGGGTGGACTTCATGATGCGCATGGGCTGCCCCTCCAGCAGCTCGTAGTTGAGCGTGCGGTAAGCTTTCTCGGCTGTGGTTGAAGGTTTAGTTTTATAGTGCGGTCGAAAATTCGTTTAGTTTTAGTTTTAGTAAGAGTTTTACGGCACTTGCAACACAATTAGGTCATATAAGTGCCGAAGATTAGAGGTGTTACAAAGAGTAACATACATAAAAAAGGAGGAGGAGAGATAAGGACGGTAGATGTTTGTTAGGAAAGAAGGAGCAAACCACACCAGAGCACACGCCAACCACCCACTGGTACGACTTATTTTCAAATAATATCCCCTCTACTATTGAACATAGGTTCTCCAATATTTGCACAGTGACTTATATCAATTGTTTTAACTGATCAACATTTTTGTAAACGTATGCATGCTGTATTCTAGAAAATTCCTCAATAAATACTAAATAAAAATCTAAGGGGCTGGTTTCTACAGATTTTTAAAAGTTTACAGCTGGGGCAATATTGCTTTTAATAGCAAGTCCGTCAGGTTTTTCTAATCGGGACATTAAGCTTATTGAACGCATGTTTTGAGAGCCATTAGTGCAAAAATGTGTTCACTACAACAATAATTTCTTTTAACTAGTTTTGCAAGTAAAAATTGTCATTGATGAGCTGTGACGTAGGCCATATGCGTAATCAAAAAGTGTGTGAGAAGCGAGAAGAGCTTTGAACAATACCATTTTACGTGTGACAGAGATTTCAAATATTTTATATAATTTTATGAAGAAACGTTTTTAAATCTAGCCCCAATTGTTCTAGAAAATATGATTTAGTTAACACAAATTGATACAAACTGCTATGCAAAGTATAGATGACATTGATTAACCCATTAAAGAGATATTTGAGGAAAAGTAGTAGAGGTTTTACGGCGCTCGCAACTCCATTAGGTCATAAGAGCGCCAGGAGATTAGTGGTGTTACAAGAGAGTAACAGACATAAAAAAGAAGAAGGGGAGATAAGGACGAGAGATGTTTGATCGGAAAGGAGAAGCAAACCATACCAGAGCACCCGCCAGCCACCCACGTGAAATGTTGTTTTTTTGTGTGTGGTTTTTTCTTTGCGTGGTGTTTTTGTTAAGTTAGTGTTTTACACGGTGATATGAAGGTCAGAATGAGGTCGTATAAGTGCCGTCGAATGTTAGAGGTGTTGCAAGAGAGTATAATTAATAAAGACAAAAAAGAGTGGAAGAATGTTTGTTGTTCTCGATTATTATTTTTCGGGGGGGGGGGGGATTGAGGAGGATTTGTTGGGTTATTCCGGATGGGGGGGGGGGGGGGGGTAGTTTGGTTTCTTTAAGAGGGGAGGGGGTGTGCTGGCGTGGGGTGTGTTGCTTTTTGGGGGTTGAGATGTTTTAGGGCTGGGGGTAAAGGTAGGGAGGGAGATGTATTAAACAAGAAAGTGCAGAACTTTTAAAGCAAGTCTTTTTTGCCTTAACAATTAAGTTTGAGTAAAGAGCAACATTTCAATATTAACGGCAATTCGGTGCACGGGAAAAGCATGTTGCAAAGACAAAAACCACGAGGAATGAAGAGAAGTAGGACTACCAGTGACACCGTTCAACAGCCGAACTGGAACTTAGTTTTAAAAAATAGGAGTTTTACGGCACTTGCAAAACAAATAAGTCATACTTATGCCTAAGATTGAAGGTGTCGTTGGAGAGTAATATAAAAAAAAAAAAAAAAAAAAAGGAGGAGAGCTGAGATGAGTACGATAGAGTTTTAAAACAAAGTTTTAGTAAGAGTTTTACGGCACTTGCAACACAATTGGGTCTTATGAACTCCGAAGATTAGAGGTGTTACAAGAAAGCAACAAACACAAAAAAGGAGGAGGAGAGAGAAGGACGATAGCTTTTGACAGAAAAGAAGGAGCAAATCCCACCAGAGCACCCGCTGATCATCCTCGGTCATGTAGTGCAAGACAGACAGACGGCAACAACAAAGGGAAAAGAAACGAAGCAAGCCCTACCAGTGACCTCCAATCACAAACCCCATGACCTTCGACCTCACTAACTCCAACTTAAGTCTAATGGCCATGCCCTATTTTTGAGGAAATTGTTTATTTTCATTGTGTGAGGGATAGACTGTTCTTAGAGGCTTCAATGGCGTTTCGCTAGGGTCAAAGTTACAGACCGTGTCACATTAAAAGTGACACATTTTTGTAAATGTATTATGTTTTACACAGCATTCGACACTTTTTAAATCATTATGGGATTGTAGAAAAGCTGTCATACAAATAAGTTGTTCCGTGTGGCTTACCAAAAAAAAAGAGTTTTGTATCTACAGAGCTGTAAAATGTTGTTCATTGTTAGTCGGAACAATAGCGACATCGCCCCCCCCAAAAAAAAAACAAAAACAAAAACAAAATAAAAACCCATTAAAAAAATGAAAACAAAAAACAAGTGGGGGCATTGAAAAGAAAAGAAAAAGAGCACACGTGATCTCCCACCGACCACCCACCGGTCGTCCTATTTCATGGTCCCCCTTAATGTTTTTTTGACCTTTGGCACACAATAGCTATCACTAGGTGGAAAGCAGTTATGTATGCCAAGCCAAGGCCCTGGTCGATAAAAATTGTAGTTTACGGCGAGTAAACACGATAACGGCTTCATTTCAGGAGGGAAAGATCAGGACAATGAAAACAGGAAAATGCGTGAAAAGTGCAGACCACAAGATAGAAACACCCACCACTCAGACGTAGATATTTTTATACCTTTTATTTTAAAAAGGAAAAGACCCCCAAAATTACGAGATACTGATGTATTGGGTCCTCTTGGCATGATTATTGCACTAGGCATTGAAATAATATGAATTTATGTGTGAAGATACGTTGGTCAAAACGAACTACTCCCTTCCCAAAAGGCTGGGATAAAGTGTTTTCAGGGGGGAAATTAGGGGATGAAGTAGGTGGAGAACGGTTGCATTCTACATAATATTATGTTATATACATAATAATATTTATATCCTGGAAAATGGAAATATTGTTCACGGGTGCGTTGAACATTTGTAATTACGGTCAAGGTTCCCTTACACTATTCCACGGGATACCATTCATTCATTCGAAGATTTAGTAGTTTTAGTAAGAATTTTACCCGCACTTGAAACACAAACAGGTCATATAAGTGCTGAAAATTAGAGATTTTACTAGAGAGTAGACCCTAATAATGATATACAAAGAAAGGAAGGGGTTTGATAGAACAGAAGGCGCAAACCACACCTTGGCATCCGTCAACCACCCACTTATACGAATACTTGCACAACCAACACTGCACATAAATAGTAGCTACAAAACCTGCAATAAAAATAACAACAACAATAACAACAGCAACAGCAGCAGCAAAAGCAGCAACAGCAACAGGAGCTGCAGCAAAAACAACAACAACAGCAACCAGAACAACAATAACCACAGCAACAACAACAACAGCAACAACCACAGAAACAACAATAATATTATTTGGGAAGAGCATAGGGAGACTGGCCTGTGTCACACTTTACTAAAAGGAGGCAGAGCCAATGCAAGTACAATAATGCAATTTGGGAGAACTGCCTCACGCGTGTATCAGGCAGTTACCCTGGTCCCTGGTAAGTATTCTATACTCGGGGTCGTAGATCGGTGCAACAGAAATATTATTACTAACTTCTTACCCTCCACCCCCCCCCCAAATAAAAATGAATAAAATAAAGTAATTAAATGAATACTTTAAATACATTGAAATATAGATCTAGTCTAGATCTAGATCTAGATTCTAGATCTAGAATCTAGATCTAAAATAAGATAAGATAAAATAATTGAAATTTTAAAAAATCTCACACACATACACAAGTACACTCACAAACACACACACACACACACACACACACACACACACACACACACACACACACACACACACACACACACACACATACACACACACACATACGCGCGTGTGCACGGACGCTCGGACGCACGGACGCACGAACGCACGCACGCACACAAAGACAGAGCAACAACAACACACTAGATTCTAGATCTATAGGTTTGGAAAAATCCCCTTAACATTCTATCACCAGCAATTCTCACCTTCCGCTGGATTCTCAAAGTTGACGTAAGCATAGCAGAGTGACTTGCCAGTGACCCAGTCGCGGCACAGCTTCACCGAGGTCACAGTACCCATAGGAGCGAACTTCTTGTACAAGATCACCTGGAACACGATTATGTCATCATTACAGTATCGGACGCTACCCGAAAACAGTAATGTTTTATCTGCCCAGTACCTAGACTAGATATCTAGATCTAGTTTTGAGAAATTTCACGTTGAATTTTTTTGAGTTTCACAACATAGATCTCTAGACTATCCGTCAACCTTTTTCGAAAGCAGTTCTTTAAATATCTTGACATTGATATTGACGATTTAGTCGTTTGAGGTTCTAAGTAAATCTAGATCTAGATCTAGATCTAGAGCCTGTTCAACTATCAACCTAGAAATCTAGATATCTAGATTTCTAGATATCTAGATGTAGATCTAGGGCAAGTTGAAAAAAATATTGAAAAAAAAAGTTGTTCCGTGTGGCTTACCAAAAAAAAGAGTTTTGTATAAAAAAAAAGGATTTCCCGATTAGGCCTACTCACTTCGTTTACGTGGGGTAGCAACTCGCCCACAAAGAGCGAAGCAGCAGACATGTTGGCCAGTATCGCCGGAAGATCCTGAGTAGCCGACGTGGTCGATGTCATTCCGCTGTCAACGGAGAGGCCAACAGCTTTTTTTTTCTTCTGGAGGCGAGGGGGTATATTATGTCTTGTTTATCACTCCATCAATTCCTCTGTCGGGTAAGAGTGAGCGCTTTTTAAAAAGTGAGTCCGTAGCTCTAATTCGATGCCAATTTAATTAGATTTCTTTTCTTTTTGTATACAGACCAATTTTGAGCGTTGTCTCTCTTTGAGTGAAAAATGTGTACATCAAAGACATATGACGTCACAGGGAGTCCGCTCTAGATACCGCTGCGTCATTCCAACAGCATGGTGCGCACTCGTGCACATTTTAATCTAGGAAATTTTGAATGATGCACACTCCAGTCTTTCTTTTTTGTAGAACATCTCAACCAACAAGCTATAAGAATAGACCTATCCCAAAGAGGTTATAAATAATGCTATTTATAACCTCTTTGAATTTATCCATAAGAGCGGGGAAGAGAGTATATTCCCACAATGAAGTTGATTCTCTTACAGAAAAAAATGGTTTGCTGGCATCATTGCAGATACTATAGTTGTCTGTTTTTTTCTTCTTTATTTTGCTTAATTTTTGATCAATATTTTTGTGGAATTGAAGATAATACACAACTATAAAAAGAAGATGGCTGTAACATGTTCTAAGAGTGCCGATGACAAGATTGCCCTATCAGATATGGTATGGAAATCAACTGGAAAAAGAAAACGAGGAAGACCAACTGGAAGCTATAGAGGCACAATGAGGGATGAGGCAGTCACCCAGGCCTGGATTTGCCAAAATTGGAGGACGTGGCCAGGGACAGACAAGCGCAGCGTCGACTGGTCTCAGCCTTATGTACCTGACGGTATAGCGAGAGAGTAAGTTAGTTTTGCTTCTTCAACGTCTGTTTTTCCAAAACTTTAGTACATCTACCAGTGTTTCTATTCGACTCCCACTTTGACATGAAATGTTAAATAGTTTGCTGGAGGCTAGAGGAGTGTTAAATGTTCTAAAAAGAGCAGTTTGAATTTGATCTTTCTTCACTAGCCCACAATTATTAGGGACTAATCTCATATTAAACCAAAGTCAGTTCGATACGATGTTTGCTTCATAAGCCTTCACTACTTGCCCGCCAAACTTCTTGACCCAACCAGACAAGACCCCACCCAGCAGACTAGTTGTACAATTTACGCACACAGCTTTAAACATTACAAATAAGCAACCAAGTACATTGAAGATTGACAGAAGTGAAGGTGGCAAGAAAATGAGTGAAAGTTTCGAGCCCAAAAGAAAGTTCAGATGTCCCCGGAAAAGACACCCAACGAAGTTATTCTGCGAATACGATCGAACGGGACTGCCCGTGGGTTGCAGTTCCGAATTTAAAACAACAACAACAAAAAAGCAACACAACCCCCCCCCCCCCCCACGAAAAAACCCACGCGCGCAAAAGCACCTATAGAGTTTCTAATATTACAACAACTAAATCATTGCTTTGGGGGGTGGGGTGGGGGGTGGCTACGCCCTAAAAGTCCAAATTCGGCTCATAAATTATAGATTTTGAGTTGTTGACATTTTTAGCTTCTTCAGCCTCTCTTACAACTATTGCATAGCCTCCTTATCTTTTTCCATACAGGGCATGTTTGTACATTGTCACAACCATTTCCTTATAAAGTCAATCTTTTATTTTTCTTTATCACTCGTTTCCACAAAACGCGGTTTACCTAGATCTATATACTTTTTTGAATAGCTCCACCTTTATTATCGAATCTTCAAGACATTTTCACAGAATGATGAGAAGATGTAATACTGAAAATTTATCCGTTGAATTTTTGATATATTGAATAGTTGTTTTTTTTGCTGGTGTCTGGAAAGTGGGTTTTCGTGGATTTCTTGCAAACTTGAATAAGACCTCAGAAAAAATTAATAACAATTTTTCTAATCCGTTTAGGAAAATTCAACAGACAAATTTGTAGATCTAATGTTTGTTAACATGCAAGCAAAGAAACTCAATATATTTCCATGAAAAATAAGTGTGGTATTCATTATGTAAGACATGTCAATAAAATCCAATAAGGCCTCCGTAGCCATGGAAACGAAATTTTTTCTCAAATTTGATTGCGGATGTTAAGACTCCTTACTACGCTTGTTATAGTGTGACGTTTGGCAAAATTTGCTCCTCTAATAAGCGAGATAGCCTTGAGGTGTAGCCCCCCCCCCCCCCCCCCACACACACTTCTCTCTCCTCTTCTCTTCATCACTTACATGGATAAGATCACGAAAGCAGCATGTGGCAACATCAATGAACTGAACAAGATTCTAATTGCTGATGACCCGAGAATATTGAATACAGATGAAGAGGAATTACAAAAAACACACCACAAAACCAAATGAGGAATGTAAAAACCAGAACAGGGAAATCTCCATCTCAAAAACAGAAGTTGTGAAGGTCAACAGAAACCCTCGGAAACTCAACATTCTTATTGATGGAACACAGTTCCAACAAGTAGAGGAATTTAAAAATTTGGGAAGCATCTTCAAGCAAGATGGCGTAAGGACAAATAATTAGAAACAAGAACTATGAAGCCAAATGCAGTGACCTACCAGCTAGCACCCGTGCTCAGTCAAAAGAACATCCTAACCGAAGTGGAATCCCAGCTCATCAACAGCATCTTCATACCAACATTAACATACCAGGCCAAACATGGTCTCTAAACAAGGCACAAGAAAGAAAAATCAATGCATGCGAAATGAGGTGTCTCCCGCAAAACCAACAACGTCACCAGAAGAGACCGAATAAGAAACGAAACCATACGTGTGCAGACTGGAATACCACCAGTAATAAAATTCATAGAGCGTCAAAGAGTCAAATGGTTTGGACATCTAACCAGAATGCCCCAGTAACAACTAGCGGCTAGAGCTTACAACACTATAGAATCTGGCTTTAGATCAAGAGGAAAACCAAGAGAGACCTGGCTGGATGGGGTTAAAAAGGTCCTGGAAGAACAAAACGTAGCTATCACAGACGCCAGCACAGGACCAAAACTTGCACACCCCCCCCCCCTGCATTTTAAGGATATCAGAGGAATGAAAAAGTAAAGTAAGTTCAAGGTTTGGTTGTTCTGTCAAGCCCGTTTGTGATTTCAGCTTTCCACAGTCTCAATTAGTGGGTGGTTGGCAGGTGTTCTAATGTGGTGTACTCCGTGGTTCTTATCCAGTATTTATCATCCTTATCTCTTTTTCTTCTTTTTTGTGTTTGCTACACTCCTGTAATATCTTTAATTTTAGTAAATCTCCGGCTCTTGTATTACCCCCAAGTGTTGCAAACACCATAAAGCTCTTACTAAAACAACAACACCCCCCCCAAAAAAAAAACCCCAACCCCCCCCCAGAAACAAAACACACCAAAAAACAACAACCCAACAACAACAAAACAACAACAGCAACAATAACAGCAGCAACAAACAAACAAACAAACACAAAACAAGCAAACATACAACCACAAACCCAAGTCTCATTTGACTCTTGGCCAACAGTGAGCTACACAAGCCTGTTTTTCTTTTCCTGCCAACCTGCCAAAGTGAGGCGCCTCTCATTCACCACAAAGTTTCTATTACATGGGGGGGGGGGGGCACCTTTTCTTTTGACTTACAGTGTCTTCTGTTCAGCTATCTGTCATACGATTCTAGTTCGCCAGAAGGATCCCAATTACTTTAGAAAGTAATACCAATCCTCTTTGCCTACAACATGCGATTCGATGTCTGTCTTCAAGGCAAAGGGAAATCCATGAAAAGGATGGGATAACGGAGCGAAAGAAAACCTTTAAAGGAGGAGCTTGGCGATCCAAACAGCAATACACATGGCCCACGTCCGACAGTTGCATCGACTCACATCAACCCCTCATGGTATACGTGTACAGATCGATCAAAAAGTTAAAAAAGTAAAGAAAGTAATTCCATGAAACAAAGAAGAATGACAAAGTTGGCTTGGTCACATGTCGGTAAGGAATATCATGGCCTACGCCATATTACAAAAATATAGTGTTCAATGAAGTGATCATACTATTGCTATTGAAGGTAAAGACTCGGTAACAGTGTATTGTGTCAAGAAACGGTGAAATCAGGCGCTGGTCTATTTTTGGACAAATGGAGTTATTGGTATAACCTTAAAGGCTGTTCGTTTACCTTGCTTTTGATGAAAACAATACATGTACACATGTATCGTGAGTAGAAATAGGGATATTTGTGATTAAAAGTGGGGGTCGCCTGGTATCAGATTTTTTCAAAGAGAGAAAAGGGCCGGCAAAGGTTGGTGACTCCCAAAGCTGGAGTGATTTTGGAAAACGCAAATTTAATTAATTTTTGTGTGCCTTTGATCAACGTTTTAAAATAAAATTCACACATAAATATGTTTTTGAAACAGTAAAAAATGTGTTGAGCCAAGAACATAAAATTCAATAAAATTTTCCCACCACGCGGAAAAAGGCCTGTTTCTTCGAACTCGTTATTTGTCAAGTGTCTGATTTCACCAAGATAAAAGCATTACACCACCATTGTGAATGTTGTTGAAGCGGGGGAAAAGCGAGCATTTAAAAAAAAAAAATGTCAGACTCTTTGACGTTGTCGGGATGGGTTGTTCACTGCTCTGAATATGTAAGGTCAAAGGTCCAACCCGGTCGTTTGTTTGCTTTTCTGAGTAAGGAGGAGCTCATAGACACAAAAATGGTCATTTAGTGCAGGGGAAAAAGTAAGATAGACAAGACAGAAGCAGCAGAGGGAAGGTAAAGTAGTTAGTAGGGCCTGCCAGTGACGCCCTCCAACCGCCCGTCGATCTAACCTGAGTTAAAAGATATTTTTGTTTTCCTTTTCAACGACCTCCTCTTATATTCTTCTTCTACTACTGGAATAAGCATCCAGCCTTCAGACAAATGTATGCTGTGGCTAACAGAGCCTATATAGTTTTCAGAAAAAGTTTGGGACCACTTGAAAAAGTGCACGCAAAATGAAAGCCAGCAAATTAAATTATTCCTTCTTTGACATACATTTAATTCATCAATCCATAAGGGCAAAAAAGAAATTTCATCACAATCGAAACCGAAATGCGTAATTCCCAGATTTCTAGCATCTGCGTTTGTTGCCATTTTTTGTCCGAAAGTTGCCAAAAGTTGCCACAAAAAATGGCAAAAGTAGTCAAAAAAGTTGCCAGCACTCGCAACTGCATAAGGTCATATGAGCACGCGGGACACACCTAATATTGTCAGTTGGTAGGAAATATTGAATTTTG